AAGTAGGGTTAAATATGTTAATATATCTAACTTGTCGATGTATTTACCTTGATTAGTTATCAATATATATGACTCGCTAATGTTATAAGAATATTATATGGATCAAACTAGATATTAATTTATATGAAAATAAATGTATTTATGGAAATGATGATGCATGATAAATTTATGTTCTATATTATATATTTATTTATTGTAATTTAATGTTGTATAAACTTAATTACATGTTCTTTACATGCCGGAGCAATAGTTATTGTTAATATTTATGGTTTAGATAACGAAGGTGTGAATATATTAATATTAAACCTCTTTGTATAGTGAAATACTTATTATCTATATTTTGTTGTGTAATCAAAGTTTATAACTAAACATGTAAAAGTTTATAACTAAACATGTAAATTAATTATTAGTCTTATTTGTTTTGTATTATAATATATTTTAAAAAATAATTGATGTTCATGTGAAAAATATTAAATCAATATTCTTTATATTTTTAAATAATTTTAATATAACAATGTCAAAAAAAATTTAAAAAAAAATACTTTAATATATTTTTAATTAAAAATCACACAACTTAATTTGCGCATACATGTTTTCCACGTGTAATTGTATTTGTAATCACCAAATTTAAAAGAATACTCACTTTTCAGTATTAGGCCATGTTTGTTATGAGGAAAATCAATTCCGGGAATTCATTTTCCTCAGTTTCCCATGTTTGGTATCAATATAGAAAACTAGTCAACGGAAACTTAATTCCGGTCAAAACTTAAAACTTAACTTTATCAAAGGAAAGTGTTTTCCTTTTGATAAAGAAAGGAAAACACTTTCCTTTTTTTCATTACACATATTACTCTCAAATTCTCAAATCATGGTCTCTCATTTCTTCGTAACCAATTAGTAAGAAGCAAGCAGGAACAAGTGAACAAGTGCATTATTTTTCTGGAACAATTGAAACTTTTATTTCAGGTATTTGTTTTCCTTTATTTCCTTTATATGTTTTTATTTTTTTTCCTTTATGTTTTTATCTTCTTCGTTAGATCTGCAAGAATTAAGACATGAATCCTTCATTTTCTTGATAAATCTGTTACCTGTGATATTTTTCCCATAACATAACACAGTTTCTTCTTCATCTTCCCTCATCACATTCGATGTGTTCAAAACAACCCAGATTCATTAAGCAAAACATAAAAATCACATATTTTCCAGT